GATAGACGATACGAGAACGGAGTACTTGAAAGGATGTTTGCAAAGTGTATGTTATTGTCCTTTGTTTCCCCTTAGAGAGGCAGACCCAAACAGTCCTTATGTATGTTCCTGAGAGAGTTACTGCTACTCCAACCAATCCCAGTCCTAATGTGCAGTAATTTCAATTGCTTCTCAGTCCCCATCCTCCCGAGCACACTCCCTTAATGTCAGCGCTGTGCTCTGTGAAACACCACCAGAATTTGAGTCTGTCACTTAAAATATAATGCCGTCAGATCTGTTACTTTAACCTTGAAGCAATTAGCTGTTGCTGAGCAGTAATGAATCCTGACATCACTCCGCTGTGATGAAACCCCTAATTGCTCTGTAAAAATTGAAGCTTTTGACATCACTGCTGACAGACTTTTTTCTTCTTGGTTGTGCGGTCGCATGTGATGGCGCCTGGTTGAAACTTGAAAGGTAGCGGAGCTTCTCTGCCATCAGCTGTCCTGTCACTTGACAAAAAGAGAGAGGGAAACTGGCTGGATTTGCTGAAATGATGAGGCCATTTAAACTATGATATGTCGCAGCTATACGGCATCATTCAGCGGGACTGGTGCAGATGTCCATGCTAGTCTAGGCTCAGCCGTGAGGTGGGTGTTTATGAGATGACGAGTGGATGGCTTACAGCCTCCGTGTCAACAAGTCTGTTCATTGGGTACTCACTGCTCTTAACAACCAAACTTTAGGAGCAGTTTTAGTTAGGGAATGCTATAAAGCACCTTTTCTTATCACAAATACTTCCTGTCACTAATTTGTTATACCAGCACAGAGGGACTGGAGGGAACATGTTGCCAGGTCAGAGAGAATGGCAACACTGTGCACAGAAGGCAAATTGGGAGTAACAGTCTTTAATAATCATTTATCTCTCTTTCAGTTGCAGCGTCCTGACCTCGGTGCTCTTTAAGTATCATGGATGACAAAATAACTTGCAGATAAGACCCAGTAGTCCACTGTTATGGATTTTCTGACATCCCAGAGTTACAAAATCATATTATTAATGAACTGAAAATTAGACTCCAGTTAATTTGATATAAATAATGCATGTACCATGGACAAATAAGATAAGAGATCTCAAAGTAAAATTATTTTTTGGTCTGTTTCATCACAATATCTGCTTAAAGGTTTAATGAGCCCTAACATGTTTAGAATTAAAATTATATAAACAATTAAATGTTTAACCTGTATATTGCTCAGGTAGGCTAATGCTTAACGATACATTTCTTATGACCCATAATGCCTCCATCAGCAAGAGCAATATTGCATCATACCTGTAAATGTTTTAGCATTAACATTAATGGTAAAATTAATGTTAATTAATGCTAAAGACAGGGGGTTTCCCTTCCTTTAAAGTTTTCTGTTTTTTGTCTTGTATTAAATTAATTGAAGAGGTTGCACACAAAGGTGTCCATGCTGTTTTGATGACACCACAAGAATACAGTATTTATTCTCAACCGTCATGTGAAATATGTGGAGCAGAATGCACCTTTTAGCATCATCCTGTAGCTGGAGGCCAATACTTACAGTTTAGGGTTTAAAATTAGGAAAATTGGGAGCACACCCTTGGATTTTTTTTTTTTTTTCAAAGAGTGCTGATGATTGGGAAAAGAGTCAAAGAAGTGCCCAGGGAAGAAAATCAAGGGTGTTCACCATCTAAATCTAGTTTCTCTAAGTTGGCTTTTATGTGTTTTGGACTGTGATCAGTCCATAGGCCAACTTGATGCATGCATGTGTTTTGGTGGCAAAAACAGCACAGTACCTAACCAGTATGTCCATCTGATGCACTTTTCCAAGAGAAGCTATGGTTTAATATTTTAAAACGTGATCTGCCTAAACGCTGCCGGTCAAACTATTATTATGCAGAGCTTTAGATTCTCCTGCAGGCTCTTAATGAAACACACAGTCAGGCAGACAGCAGCTGTTGATAATAGTGTACAAGATGTATAGGAGAACTTAGCGCCAAGGTTTTTTGGGGAAGGGGGTGGGGTTAAATTTGTGTTTAGTGAGTGATGTAGGAGATGTGATAATGAGAGGCCAAGGAGAGCAAGTGTTACCTCATTATTGTAATGAAAAAGATATCCCACCATTACATCAGTTGGAAAAAGTGGCAATTAAAGTGCCCAACAAGGTTCCTCGAGGCAACGAGAAGAAGAAAACGACTCTCTAAAGCCCATCTGTTCTGGATAATATGCGCCATGTAAAAGAAAGGCCTAATCCTCTTTATTCAAGTCTGCTGCCCTTTTTTTTCCACCAGTGATTGTGTTTTCTCAAGTATTGCTCATCTTCCCCAAAACTGCGTTTGGCCTCTGCAGCGGATTCACAGGGAGTTGTAGTCCAAATAATAAAAAAAAAAATAACATCAAATTTAATCCGTTTGCTGAAATATTTCACGTTATTTATATTTGGTCGGTCAAAAAATAATTTCGCATTTTGACCTTTGTTAATAATAATAATAATAATAATACTAATAATAATAATAAGAAGAATTTTAAATTCATACTGGCACTGATATCCACAACAAATGCAAATTTAAAAAAATATGCCACTCAGCCTCATGCTGCCAGTTTAACTCAGACTCACTGTGGCCCACTTTAAACTGACTGAGAGCTGCTTTGTTTTGAGCGAGAAATTTGCGGAATTACTGCAAAAAAATATATATAACACAAAAATCGGATCACAGCAACGCCCCAAAAATTACCAGGTATAGTGCGAGATGGTAGCAGGCTATTAATTCAGTGCTGCTGTATGGCTCAGGCTATTATTAATGAATTTGAACAGCCCGCACAACCGCCGACACCCCCACCCCTCCCACCCGCAGAGTGCAATAAATAAATAATGCTGTAGAAGTCATGCATATGAACAACGTGCGTCGGCAGTACACTGCAGTAATGGGCAGAAGCTGTAGGGTCAATATGGTGGGCTAATATTTTTCAACATTGACGATATAGGCCAGAGCTGTTTTCGCAATCACATCCAATTGCTTACAAGGCCAAGAAGGGAGCGATTTATCCCCCAACAGCCTGCTCTCCAAACGCTCCTTCTGCAGCCCGATGTGGTTTCTCCCTATTATCCATAAACCCTGAGATTTAATGGGAATGGATATTGTATTTAGTGTAATGACTCTGAACGACGCTGTACGAGGAGCGCGCTATAATTGTACTGTGAGCAGTGGAGCCAGAGAAAATGAAGGCCCTGCTAATTTGGTTAAATGAGGAAAAAACGCATGTAATGGCTCTGGTGTGTCCTCACAGGCGCTCTGTCCAAAATGCAACCCGCAGAAAGGGAAAGCAGTGAGGCTGTTTTTGCACTGAATGACAGAGAGAGAGAGAGAGAGAGTGTGTGTGTCCATGCAGGGGATGGCGAGCAGGCGGCTTAAACCGGCTACATTAACATGTGTTCAAAGTATTAAGAAACAGTCAAACTTAAGCCTGTGTTTACAGCTGGCAAAGTGACACTGCTGTCATGTGTTTCTGTCTGCGGGGAGCTGTACATGTCCGCTTTGCTTAGGAGATCTATTTTTAAATAATTCCAGATCGAGCTTTACAATTTAGGTGTTTTTGGAATATGACCGGAATAAAAATATCAGCAACAAAATACGCGCTTATCAACTCTTTAAATTGTTATGTTTGGATAAAAATGTAAAAGGTAAAATTAATGTGTATGGCTATTGGAGGTTTGTATGCATTCCTCATGTTTTTCATAAAGCAGCAAAGGTCAGTTTGGCTCACTGTAATAAGGTTCAAAGACAAGAAACCCAAACAAACGGGCCCCGAGGCGCTAATTCACACGAAGCGCCTCCCCGCCATATTCTCCGGGGTGCGCGCTCATAGGAGGCTAAATAAAATCAAAGTATTTTGATAACATTTAATTTCAGACCCGCGCTGTGTTTGCTCAGGTCCTGAAGCAGCATCTTGCCGCAGCGCAGACACACTGCGATAGAAGCAACGGATCACAGTGGAAGATGGGGATCATTTAGTCACAGCGCACTATGTGCAAAAACATCCAAACTAATTTTAGAAAAGGTGCCAAAGAAGGATGGCGCAAATATGCAAATGATGCAAAAGTGATGCAAAAATGAGTGCGACACTGAAAAATACCAGAATGTGCATTGTGGTCACTGGAGATTATTTCCCCTCAAAACTTCCTGGAACAAGTTCACTAACGGCTATTAGTTATTGAGAATGAACAGATTATCAGCACTTTTTTCTTCTTCTTCTTGCAGGCTTTTTCTCCTGATCCTGCGCCTGATCGCTCACGCTGAGAAATTCAGGCTTATTGTCTGCTGTGCTCCCAGGGAACAGCTGCTAAGCCAAGGCCACATTCCCAGTATACCCGACTCATCAAAACCATTCATCCCACCACCAATCAGCTGCTGCGCATCCATATGTATACGTGCTGGTAAACAGGAATATAAAGGCGTGCAAACTCACCTCCAGTCGGTGATCACTAGTTTGAAACTATTAATTAAATATCGTCCGATTTAAAGACCATATGCTGCTATGACTAATTATTTACGTTGATCCATTTATGTCATAAAAATTATGTCAGCCTAAAAAAGTGGTGAGCTGACAGTATGTGGGTTAGACACCACTATAATTACAGTAAATAATAATAATAATAATGTTGATATGCAGGATATTTACACTCAATTATTCTATACCATTTATCTTAACAAAATAAAAGCCGCATAATTACTGTAAATTATTTTTATAATTTAAAATATATATATATTTAAGTGCTGTACCACTAATTAGAGCAATATACCCGGTTTATAATCAGTCACGTATAATTGATAAATTGATAGTTTACACATTTGTTTTTTGCATCTTCTTCTTCATGAGAGCGATACAAATGAAATTTGAACTCCAGTTTCAATAGAAGCGTCTACAATTCAATTAGTATCATTACTTCTTTATTCATTCCGTTCTTCTCCATCTAATAAACTTTATAAGTTTATTTGCTAATGTAAGTGTATTTGTACAAAAGACAAACAAACAAACAATCAGACATGAGCAGTCCTGGTGGTCTGTCTCGGCCCGGACAGAGAGTCTATAGGACTGGGCTTTAGGCTATTTGGGCCTATATTAAATACCTCCTTTACTTCTGTAAAATGTCTTTAAATGTGTCTTTTTGGGGGGAAGGAAAAGTCCTGCAATGTGGTTCCGATGCAGTTACTCACATCACGTGTTCAACCAGGTTTCTGGTCATCGTCTTTTCTCGTCTTATTTCGTGTCTTATCGCGGATGCTGTGAGCCGGGCATGGGGTTAGACAGGGGGTTTAGTGCCGGTTGCCCCCCCGGCCCAAGGCCATGAATGAGCACCCTCGGGACAAGGGGTCTCTGGAGGCCGGGATGCGGCGCGGAAGGAGTCCGGTACATACTGCTGTACATGGCCGCGGCAGCCGCGGCCGCCGTCGTGCTGTCCACGGTGCCCAGCAGGCTCGGGTGGTAGAAATAGGGCGACGGGAACATTCTCTGTAAGGCCGAGTAGTTTCCTGCTTCAGCCAGGAGCTCTAATCCGACCGCCGTTTGCCTCTTCCACTTCGTCCTGGAAATCAGATCAAAATACAAGAGATGAATTATTTAATCTCTCCGGTCTCTTGCTAATTCCCCAAACGCCCCCTTAATTGGTATGCAGAGGCCTAATTATTGCAGGCACCAATTTATGGCTAAGGTTTAATTAGGCAAAAAAAAGAAAAGAAAAAAGCAAATATCAAGACAGTATTCTGAGATCTCCTTGATGATCCAAACTTTTCTCACTCCTGTACAAACACAATAAATACAGGCTCTACAATAAAGTATCCAAATAAACCTTTATTTTGAAAAGTCGCAGGCGAAATGTTAAAGTTGCAGGATTTTAAAAAAAGCTCTGCGGGGGAGAAAGTATTTTTTAAACTCAAGGATATTTTCAGCAGTTGTACCCAGGAGGTAAAATGTGCACTGACAGGATATGGTGCAAGAATAAATATTTTGTGACACTTGCAAATATTAAATAAATTGATATAATGTGAGCAATAGGCCTATTGGAGCTGTAAACCAAAATGTGCACATGCAGGCAAGCAGGAAGTCTAAACAAAAATGTATATTTTCAGAATTTATTTTTTCTGCTAAATCCATCTCGACAGAACTTTTATTTTGAATGTGTCATAATGTCAGCCTCAAATGTCTCTAAATATATTCATCAAAAAAAATAAATCCTAATAAATTGGATCTTTTTGGTTTTCTCAAAACATAAATGTAGAAAATCACCGGGCCTGCCGTTAGCAGGGAGATCGATTGGCTAAAAAAAATTAAAGTTTTGCATGGCTGTGTGGCCTCTGTGTAGCCACACACTGAGCCTGCATGCATTAGAAGTGTTGGGTAAAAGCAGAGCCACAATACGGGCCTGTCAAACATGAGAAATGTGAATGCGACTGGCTGAAAAAAATAATTCAGCAACTTCAATAAAAATGCAATAAGAATGTGATGTGACAGAAACAGTGGGCGTCCTCAAAGGCTTACTCCCGCACTGATATAGCAACTAACAACAATCAGATCCTAATTTTAAAAATTCTGAAATACCCCAGTGTGGTTCCGGTTGCTGTTCGCGCTGCTCACTTGGATCTCTCCTTTAATACAGAGAGAGTTCTACAGGACCAGGAGCAGGTTCTGTTGCTGCACCCTCTCTGGTTTTATGTGTCTGTGTTTGCTGTGTCTGCACATGTAATCATGATGCTGTTGCCTACCGTCTGTTTTGGTACCAGGTCTTGACTTGTGTGTCTGTCAGGTTGAGAGCCGCGGCCAGGTCCATGCGGTCCTGCACGCTGAGGTATTTTTGTCGCTCGAAGCTCCTCTCCAGCTGGTTGAGCTGGTGGTCGGTAAAGGCTGTCCGTGCTTTGCGAGGCTTTTTCGTGCGCATCGGTGGACTGTCTCTGCTACTGGAGATCTCCCGGTCACCTTCTTCCTTAGTCCCTAAACACAGAGCAAAGAGCAGCGGTTAAACATGAAAGCATATTAGGCCAACACTTGGAATTGTATTCACTTACTGTGCACAATTTCATTTATTCTTCCTTGCAAAACTGAGCCCATAAAACAGCAAAAACATCACAGGTGTGTGCTCGGTGTCAAACTTTCACCAACTTGTATAAATAGTCGCTCAGAGTGATGCGCTCTGACACGTGTGGCACTAAAAGAAATTTGTGTGTATTTGTCACCTGGAGTTTTTCCTCTTACTTTTGTTCTTTTCCCTCAGAAAACGAGAAATCAATATGTCAATCCATCTCTATTTGTAGCTGTTTTTCGGTGCTCCATGATCCCCCCTCTAGGAAGAACAATAATCTCTCTAATTGACCCACTAGGGAGGCCCCGCGCACGGGGAAAATCACCAGGCTTACATCTGTTTTCACATCTATTAGACTAATAAAGGAGGCTGGAAGTAAGACAAAGAATCAGTCAGTAAAAACATTATTATTAATAATAATAATATTACAGTTAATTACTTTTTTTTTTATTCAGTCCCTGATCTATATTTGTTTTTGTTGGCTACAGTTTATTTATTTTGTAGCCTATAATAATTAACCTCAAGTGTATTTTGAGCAAACAACAATAATGAACCTAAACTGCGTCTTTCTGAGATAAAGCAGATTTTAGGAGCTCTTACCGTTGCATTTCATTTCACTCTGAATGTCGTCTCTTTTGTCCAACTTGCTTCTGTTCTCGTCTTGTTCCAACTTGGGCCTGAAGCCGTCCGGAGCCGTGGCACTTTCTGGTTTTGGCGTGTGATGGGGTGAGGGTACACTGGTGCTGTAAGGTGCGCAGGCTGCCAGCGGTTTACTGTCGCCCAGAATGTCTTTGATTAAAAACGAGGAGGTGGCAGTCCTCGGGGCGCAGCCGGCCCCGGCGAGCGGCTGCTGCTGAGGCGACAGCGGCAAACTCTGCGGCTGGTTGTGGTGATGGTGGTGATGCTGAAGGCTGTCCTGGACCAGATGCGGATCGGCGGCGTGCTCCATGGTGACCGAGATGGGGGACGAGGGGGCTGTTCCCACAGTGTCTATCTCCGAGCATGGTGACGGGGTTGCCTGGCTCCTGAAATCCGCTGTCCTGCTGTCGCCGAGCCGAAAATCTCCGTTCATGAGCACGGGGTTACCAGAGTTAGAAGCGCTGGATAAAATAGTGTCTATCCCAAAACTCGACCCGCTGGATCCTTCCATATTAAGAGAGGAGTGATGAAGCCTTCATAACAACAGTGAGATGCTTTCTCCTCCGTTGCAAATCAGAAGAAAGTCCGCAAAAATGAACTCTTGACTTACAAAAACAATTTAAAAAAGAAAAGAGTTGGCAAATAAACCCAGGAGAGAAACAAAATCCACGTTTGCAAGCGGCTCCAAGAGGTTACATTCAGTGAAAATGCGCAAAAGCAAAGTGTGGGTCTGCGTAGTCCACGTCGCTTTTTGTGTTTGGATATTGAACTTTGTGTTAAAAGTTGAGGCGTATAGAGAGATATACATAGGGCTGACTCCTCGACATCAGGCTCCCCCTTTTTGCTGCTAATCGCTCCAGTGTTGCTCTACAATGACTTCCTATACTGACGTCACGGCCCACGGCGAGGGGGAATTAATATTTTCTCCTTTATAATAAACACTCGACGCCTTTTCTCTCCTGCCCCCACCTCCCTGCGCTGCCATTGGCTTACATCCTGACCGGCTCCGGCACCTCACCAATCAGGGAGTTGTTTCTTTATCTAGACAGTTCAAGCCAACCATTGAATTGAGTTTAATTCTAGAATAGCTCTTTAAAAAAAAAAAAAGGAGGAAAAAAAAGGAGGAAAAAAAAAACATGCATGTGCTTTAAGGCCACGCTGTGAACATTTCTGTATGAAATATCCAAGCTGCGACTGGAAAGGGAAGTGGAAAATAAAAACAGAAGAGAAATGTGATCATGAGCTCTAAACCATTTAAGTCTAACTAAAAGGCAAACATCCACAGTGGCTGCTCAGCAGTGCCAGCATTATGGTAGGATCCATTAGAAATATCTTTCTTTCCAGCCAGTTTCACTCTCCAGAATATTTCTCTGTCTTTTTAAACTTTCCAAAGCTGTGAAAAAAGGCTCAACTGTTGCCAGAGTTTGCCAAATTATCAATCAGACCTGATTTTGAATTGAAAAATCATTTGGAGTAAAAAAAAAATGAAATCAAACACCATGTGAGGAGTGAAAACCAGGCCACGATGTGTCCTGGTGAGGGCTGCGGTGTCACGGATGCCATCCATCTTTATGCATATATTCTCAGAGCCGCAAGGTCGGCATATTTAGGAGCGAGGAGGAGTGGTGGTGACTGTCATGACAGCGCATCCTGTTAATAACCATGTCATCCTAATTAGTAAAGTAATTATGAGGTGCTAATGAGTGTTCAAAGGTAGTAGAAATTCAGCACTTTCCCCCCCCGACGTGGATTTGAAGGATATGGAGGGAAAATGTGTGCGGTGCGTTCAGCTGACAGAGTGTCTGCAGAGAGGCTGCAGGTCTGTGTGCACACTCTTCCTCTGGATGAAGTCTGTTCATGGGAACCGCCACTTCTCACAGAGAGCTGAATGCATGCTGCTGCTCTACTTCTCTTTTTTTTTTCTTCTTTTTTTTTTTTTGGCGGACGAGATTTTTTTGATTTATTTTATTTCAGATGGATTTTTCTTTCTCCACAGCCTCCGCACTTTCCCCGGAATTTGAGGATGAATCATGGAGCGGGTTTAGTTTATTATTATTGTGCTTTCTTCCTCTTCTTCTTCTTCCTTCCTCTTCCTCCCCAGCAGGTTGATAAAGATGATGGTGCTGATGATGATGTGAGACGGATGAAGATGCTGATGTTCAGAAGTCCGGACTTGTAGGTTTGTTCCCGATTTAATTGTCTATTTAAAAAAAATTACCGAATGTTATCAATTAAAAAGCGCGTTATTTATTGCCGATTTCCTTATTTTTATTCGATTGGTTTTTACATGCAACACATTGTCAAGAAATTAATTGTAATCATTAGAAAAAAAGCGTTCTCATTCTATTACAAAAAAGATCCGTATGCTGTCTGCTATTTAGTAGATTTTTATACTTCTGACTCACACGGAGCTGCATCAGAAAAGCAAGAGGTTGAACCTTTATTAATAAGACAAATCCTATTAATTACTAATTAATTCTAATTAACAGTATTCATGTTTGGATCATTCACATATTCTAAAAGGTTCAATGTTGAGTGTTTTTTTTTTTCTTACAGCATGCTGATGGTGTTTATTTCAATTTCAGCATTTAATTCAAAAATCGAAGAGCCTGTTTCCCATCAGGCCTTACACCGAATGAATTAAATGAGTTTATTTTAGATGGATCCTCTTTAAGGTTGCAGTGAGAGGACGGTGGTTAGGAGTCAGCTTTTATTTCTCGAACAGCGTTAATAATGGGCTCGGATGAGTCCTCTCAGTGGATCTCCTCCCGCATGAGATGCAGGCGCAGTGTGAGCACCAGGCGGCGACAGAGCGAGGCCAGAGTGTGCACACAGTGAGCTTCCTGAGCACAGCGAGGCCTCTGGGAGCCGGATGACTCCACATTACAGCCGCAGAAAAAGCTGATATTAAACTTAAGTTAAAGATAATTATCAACCAGCCAGCGCCTCATGCAGCTCGGTCTAAAACAAAGTGACAGGCAGAGAACAACAGCGTGGCACAAACAGAAAGACATCATCTCCACAGTGGAAAGCAATTAGAATATGCAGCCTGTAATCAGGCCTTTTCTAAACCTTATTCCCTACAAATCGCTCCGATCGGATCAAAGCGATGCTTAAACATGTCAGTCAGCGTGTGGAGAGGCTGCTCAGCAACTGAAAACAGGACCAATCAATCGCTTTATTAGCTTTAAGGCGCCGCAGGAGCAAATTGAATGCTACCAGTTAGGGTATAGTCTTATTGGCCTCAGCTGATGGTCGATGATGGGACAGTGTAATAGTGGCTGGCACCATATTGATTCTCTGGCGGCTTCGCGTGTAAGCTGTCACTTCACCGCTGGCGACCTTTAGGTTGCACAGTTGCAGCGTTTACAAAGAGACACCCCGCATTTAGACTGTCAATCACTGCGGGGGGAGCAGCCGGACACGCACAGAGAGGTGCGGGAGGGTTTGTGCAAGTTTGAAATGAAGATGTTATAAAGGTTAAAATAAGTTCAAGGCTGTTTTATGTAAATTAAATAGCCGTATGTTCCCGCCTTGGTGACCAAGGTCTTTTTTTTAATTACAGTGCGATCAACGTCATGAAAGGCAGGATCCAATCAGGGCAGATGAGAGGCTATTAGGAGAGGAGATTGGTTATGACGAAAATTTGCAACAAGAAAAAAATATTTTTATTTAAATTTAATAAAATCATTAGAAAATGAATTTGAACATTTCTGAGGCCAGTAAAAAGGTCACACATCTGGAAACAGCAATGCTATAAGACAGTGTGACTTATAGTGTCAACCTTAATCTTTCCTGCTTTTAACTCATAGTAAAAAATAAAAAATCAAGTTACATTTAAAATAAAAAAATTGAGTTTGTAATCTATTAAAGTTACTAAAGAAAATAATCCCAGTCACACAATCTATAATTATAGGCATTTTATTTCATTCAATAAAATGTGTTGATGACTAAAAATGTACAGTTTGTGAAATTATATGTATAGTCGTGAATAAAAAACACAATATTTTAATAAAAAAATTACATTTTAACAGAAGTGTGGATTCATTCAGAGGTCAATTAATATAATGGTAAATCTGAAGAAATACTCATTTTTTTTAATTGAAAATATATTTTAAATTAGAAACCACTGAGCCAAAATCTGGACTGGCCAACTGCACTTGTGGGTTGATATTGTTGTGGCATGTGCAAGGAGTGGTCTAATGTCTGACTGACCGTCCCATCAAAGTGCTGTTGTCCTTGACAGATGGCCGGGGAATTACATTGATTAAAAGCTGCAAAAGGACAAGCTGTCTGACGGTATGTAGCAAGTCAGAAGATCATAGTGGCTAATCAAACCTAGATCACCCAGATGTCTCTTCTGTTTGCTGGGCAGTGTTTAAGTAGGAGAAATGCATTTATAAAAATAAAAAAATTAAATGCCCACGTGCCAGAATATATAGCGACTGGCTGTCAAACCTCTACCAGTGCACTTTATAAAATATACACCCTGCTGGATCATTCACAATCCTAAAAATCTAATCTTTTAAAATCCTACATCCATGTTGGTGCAGATCTGTTGAAGTGAAGACCGACTTCTAGTGAGAAAGAGAAAAAAAAGTGAAAATGAACCTCTGTGAAATATCTTCCTAGACTTCAAGACCATTTTAACACCTGGGCACGCGGAGGTCTCATGTGTTTTGAAGTGTCTGGCTCCAGCAAATATCACACGCTTAATCTTTTTTTGTGTGTTTGTGTCATTCCCGAGAGGTCACGCCGGAAAGCCAAGAAAGAGTGTATGGTTTAGAGGAGAAGTGGTGGAAACAGGAGAGGTAACTGGGTGGTTACTGTACTTCCAAAATCTCTAATGATCTTCTAGGAACAGACACAGAAGTTCAGAGAGAATTAAAACATCTTTGATGCTATCAAGGCAGACGTATTGGTCCAAAGAATCACAGCTAATATCAACAATGCTGCTGCTGCTGCTGCTGATGTGTCTGGATGCTGTGAAGCACTCAGTGAACCCTGAACATGTCCTGAAATAAAACTGAAGCAACGTTGCACTTTTATGAGTGACACCAATTAGAAAAATAATGTTGTGTTTCTTTCAGATGTAAAAAATAATATCTTAGAACAACATGATCAAGTCCTCTTCTCTGAATCTAACCCAGTCAACTCATTTAACTGTGTCATTTCCACAGCTGGAGGACAGATCTGAAATCATTTATTCAACCAAATTAAGTCACAGGTCCAAATAAAAACCACTACAGAAGTAACTTTTTAAATATCTACGTAGAACTTATACATTCCCTGCACTTTTTATTCCTAGTGTAATTGCCTACAGTGCTATATGTGGAAGTGTGGAAGTGATTGGCGCATTAACAACTTGAATTTGACCACTTTGAGAGTGATAATTGGTGATATAGGCAACAGTTTGTTCAAGACCTCAGATTGAGTTGAAGTTGAAGTTGAATAAAGCTCTACAGTAAACTTGACACTTTTTTGACTTAGTCTAAATGCAGGTGTTGAAAA